GATGAACTTATATGAATGAATGGCAGAACGAGGAGGAAGAGGGATGGTAAATTGATTGATTTATTCATTTTATACTGTTTATCAACACATTGCAGGTTATTTAAAGCCAGAAAATATTTTTAGACTAAGATTTTTTTTTTTTTTTTTATTTTAAGATAATAATGGTTTGGTGATATAAGTCTTACTAATTAGCCCATAACTCGGGGGGTGGGAGAAGATTTAGATGCATACGTAATCAGAATTTGATAAACAAGAAGTTATAATGTGGACATAAAGTGGGAGATCAATTCTATATTACAATCAATAAATAAACTGATCCCTCACTTTGTGGTTAGACCTAGCAATTGATTCGATATAATCACTGTACTGTGGAAAACGTGAACCCCAAAAGGTGCAAAGCGGTGCTCTCCTAGAGTTTAGCTTCAGCTCTGCTGATGGCAGGCAGAAAAGGTTCTTTATGGTGGTTAGATGATAGCAGTTTTGTTTTTGAAGACGTTAAAATTTACAAGTCATTTCTTGCCTCCTTTAAAAACTGATTGAAAATCATTTTCAAGAGCAGCAACCAAGATTACGTTGTCAGGCAGGAGAAAATAGTAGTATCATTTACAGAAATATTTAATTGGGAACTGATGACATCAGAGAAATAATTAATGAAGACCAAAAATAGCGTAGGACCAGGGATAGAGTCTTGGGGGACACCCGCATTCGTGAGAAAGGACCTGGGATCAAGACCGTTTAAAACGACCTTCATTTCACGATTTGATAAGAAAGATTGGATTAAACGACAGGGGGGAAAACATTGTCAGGTCGATGAGAAAGTGACTGAAGTCAAGATGCATGGTCAGGATCGATTACATTGCAAATCCTTCTTTGGATTTTGTCAAGAATCTCGAGATGTGTAGCAGGAACCCCAGTTTAGATATGGCAGCAGTATTCAGTGCATGGGACGAATGGTAAATTTGTGAATGTGCAAGATGGATTCTGACAAGACAAAATTTCTGGTACGACACAGTGATCCAACTTTCCTTTCAGTAGATGCAACTATTGATTCACTATGGTTGCTACACTTCAAGTCAATGGAAAACGTGAAGCCAATAAGGCGTAGTGTGTTCCTGTCCTGGAGTCTATCGTCAGCTATGCTGATGACAGGCAGAAAAGGTTCTCTATGGTGATTAGATTATAGCAGTTTCGTTTTGGATGCCTTAAAATTTACAAGTGATTTCTTACTCGAATTATCCACTATTTGGATGTCCTTTTCGACAACAGTTGCCAGATTTATTTTGTCGGATCTGCCAGGCTTTCTACCTAGACAGGAGTCAATAGTTGTGTCATCTGCATAAATACCTAGTTGGTAACTGTTGACATCGGGAAGGTCTTTGATGGAGATCAGAAACAGCGTAGGTTCAAGGATAGATCTCTGGGAGACACCTGCATTAATATGAACTGATCTTAGGGTGTGCCCGTTCAGCATAATCTTCATTACATAATTTGTTAGGAAGACTTGGATTAAGATATATATTTGTCCAGAGAAACCGTCTTGAACTTATGGAGAAGGCCAGCATGCCAAACCTTGTCCAACGCCTTTGAGATATCTAAGGCCACAAGCCGAGCTTCGCTGTTACAATATAACAACCATTAGGGTAATACAATAAAACGGAAATACACCTGGCTTTGCTACGAATAATGCCCTATTGATCAGCAAATATAAAAAAAGATAGGCCCACAGCACAACACACACGGCCTGTAGATTGCGTTCAAACATAAAAAAACTGTCTCTCTCTAATATATATATATATATAATATTAGTAGTCAACATATATAAATATATATATATATGTATATATAAATAAAAAGAAAGAACAGTAAGATATATAATCCGGTGTTCTTATAGATATTTTTATTTTTACAAAATAGCGCTCAATGTAAATTTACAGAGCATTAATATTATAAATTAATTGATTTAAAATATGGTTTTTCCGCTACACAGTTCTAACCATGTTTCAAAAATTAAATTTGGACCTTCCATTTTTTGAAACATGGTTAGAACTGTGTAAAGGGAAAACCCATATTTTAAATCAATTAATTTATAAATATATATATATATTTATAGAGGATAGAATCCAAGAGGATAATATCAATGTAATAAATCCTAACCATGGAATGTTATTATTTGATTCTTATATATGTACATATCTCTCTATCCCCCAACTCTCTCCCCAACTCTCTCTCTCTCTCTCTCTCTCTCTCTCTCTATATATATATATATATATATATATATATATATATATATATATATATATATATATATCGGTGTAACAGCAAAATTGTTCCAAGCGTGTAACAGCAAAATTATCCAATTGTTAGATTAGTTCTGAACCGTTGTATCGTAGAAATGATTAAAGCTATCTTACTGAAATTCTCCGAGGTTTTTATAACACTATTGGACACTACTATGAGCAATAAGAATGTATAATTACTTTCCAAGCTTAAATGAAGAGTCGTGATGAAATCGATCATAAACGAAAATGACAGGTTCATCAGTAATTAATCATAGTTAAGGATCGGGAGCTCATGAAGCATTAAAATAAAGTTCAAATATATATAATATATATCATTCCAGGATAATTTTCCTGGTTATTCAAAATGATATTCGCCCTCTCTAACCTTCTAACTTTCTGTCCTGTAGTATCAAGGTGCATCGCACTTTTACCGTACAATTTCATTTTCAAGTCTTTTTTCAGTGTTCCCAGAGCTGAGTCTCCTCTCTCACGTGCCAAATGTCTTATGAATTGAGTTGAATATTTCCTAATTGATCTCTTTAGTTGTAAGGTGAAATGATGATCCCTCTTCTTGATCCAGTTTTCTTTTTTGATCCAGTTTTCCTTTCTACTGTTCTCACTTTTTAAAACTTATTCATCGTTCTCTTGATGGTTCTTGAATAGCCCTTAAGGATGGAAGCCAGAGTATGAATGTTGGTATCATTACTGAAGGACTGAATGATCTTTTTCCTTTTCTTCTTGAAGATATAATTGATGATTTAAAGTTTTTTCCAATGATACAGGCATCATCTATTCCAGTGTAAATGACTAATAGTCAACTCAAGGATTCATGACGTTATATCATTTCTTGGAGTATTTGCCTGCAAAGAAAGTTGGAAGAACAAGCCAAAGACTGTATTATATCAATATGCATACTTCTCGAAGTGAAACTGAGGCGAAAATTGGTGACTGCGTGATTCAAAGAAATCATGATTCCATCATGAATGCTTGAAGGACTATCATATTGTTAAAAAAAAATTAAATTTAGGAATATAATATTTATTTTATTTTCTCTTCTTTATTTGTATATAACTGAAGGATAAATAAGCATAAACAAGAACACTTAAATAAATTAATTCCCTTTTTTTTTATTACTCTTTTAGCATGCATTTTCGTCGTTAAAGTACAACTGTTCTTTGTAAAATCCGTAATGTGTTGTTGTGAGTATTTGACAAGACTAGATTAGGCACCCTGCCGCGAGGTTCGATTTGGAAGTCTATTAAAAGCTGAATCTATCGAAGCCTTTGTGAAGGATGATGACAAAATAAAAGATCGTTCTACAATACATCTTAGTAATTTAGAAAGAGTACATAAAGTAATTTGTATCTTTTAATGATAAAAGCAAAGAGACAAATATTAATTTCACTATTATAAAGAAACATTCTATTTCTATATTTAGGTTGAAAAAACAAAACAAAAACAAAAATAATGTTAATGCCGAATAATTTGAGGAATTCTTCGATTCAAAAAGATCTCTTCATCTGCCTTGTTATTGCCAAAATGAATTTAATATAGTCGAACTCTTTAAACTCTCTAAGCTTTTAAATTAATGTTTGACATTTCTCGGCTGTTAAACAACTTCCATTCATTTATAAATTTATTTGAAATTGAAAAAAAAAAGATCAACTTTTATATTTAAATTTGGTTTAGTCAAAACATTAACCTCAAATCTCGGGTTATGTAGTTCAATACCCTCGTCAGATCGAAGCTTTCATAAAAATGTCATGTACGGCACCAAACCCGTTTAGAAATATCTAAACTGTCAGTTGTATACAGATGCTTTCTCAGATCAATGATTAAAAATAGCTTCTAGCGAATGAAGCATGTAGGTCTTCGTGAGCTCTATCCTCGGGAAATTGCGCTACAGAATCACAAAGGGCTGTACCAAATAACAGAAATCACTTGTGGAATTTCAATAGCAGCAACAACTAAAATGGATAGTATATGTAAATTGAAGAGAAAATAATAACATAATCAAAATGCTAACGTTGCACACAAAAGGTTAGGAATCTCTTGACCCCGTTTTACTGACCAAATACGTCAGAATATGATGAAAGAAAATAGACAACGAAATTGGAAGAAAAAATCAATACTGGAAAGAGCGATAAAAGTTATTGAACTTGAGAAACTAATTTTCCTGAAAATTTTGTTTTAGAGATGGCGACAGCTATTAGGAAGATGTGATTAAATATACTTTAATGTTTAAAAAGAAATTTATTCAGTATTATTATTGCTTAGGTAATAAGCATTATAACATTACACAAATAGCTATATTGTGGAAAAAGGAATTTTCGATAATATACGCATTTTTTACGTATTTATGGTCATTTTTTAAACTTTTATTAAAAACAACATTCTTCTACATGTAGTTATGGATAACTAATTATAATAATAACTAATAATAATATTATACATCAATTACTATTTTTTTTAATTAATAACAATTTGTGCTCAGTTGCTGACATTAATATCTATCTGCTGATGTGTTAAAATTTTGGAATGATGCAATAATAAAAAATTAAATTTCATCTCTCTGATACATGTCGCGATTTGTTAATAGAAATAGTTTACAAATTTCAACCGAAAGTAACACTGGCTGCTTGGTCAATGTATGTTTCCTTATAAAGAAACAGTTAATATTACGATTACCATTAATTTTTAAAATCAACGTTATTATTGTTAATGTTCAATAATTTGCTGAGATCATCGATTAGAAAAAAATATCATCGTCTTTTTTGTCAAAGTAAAAATGAATTTGATATAATCGAATGTTTTTTTAAAACATGTTAGGCTTCTAAATTAAAACTTGATATCTCCAGTCCGTTAAAAAATACATTTTAATAACGTGTAGCTATATAGCGATAATATCAAGTACAAGTAGTAATGTTTCGACTGATATATTCTCTGAATTTCTTCAGGTAATACAGGTTGAATATCCTTTATTCGAAATTCCCAAATCCGAAAACCTACAAAATTCGAAAGTTTTTCATGTGCTGACATGACTTGTCACAAATGGAAAATTATAGAAAGCACTGGTAAGTTTTCTGGGTGATGTGTAGCTGTTGTAAGTGATCCTCATCTGCCCTGGGTGGGAGTTCCCCCATCCCAGCTACGTAGTCTTCGTTGGCGCCAGTTTTTGTTAGCGATCGTCACAGCAGCGCCTTCGTTCGTGCATTACTTAGTAGGCGTTTCGTGCTCAGTAAAGATATTAAAAAAAGGCCTTCATTTATATATTTTTGTCAGTAGTGGTCATGTTTTTGTACACGTACAGAAAGTACAAAACGTTATTTTTACATGAAATGTTAATTTCACCTCTTAAAAATCTCTGTGAGAATTACATGACTAGTGTCATTACTTGTATCTGTATGTACACAGAATTTATTAGATTTTATATAAAACTACTCTCAGGGGATAGGTTATTTGTATAAAACTACCTTCAGGGGATATGTATAAGCTGTGTTATGAAATGTACAGGGATATCATGTTTATGCTTGGGTTCCATTCCCAAATTGTCCCATTTTATAGATGCTATATACAAATTAGATAATAATTAAATAACCTGTATACCAAAACCCGAAAAAAAATCTGAAAAACGAAGCACTTCAGGTCCCAAGAATTTCGGATAAAGGATCTATCTATCTATCTATCTATCTATCTATCTATCTATCTATCTATCTATCTATCTATCTATCCCACTCTGTTCATGATCTATCTATCTATCTATCTATCTATCCCACTCTGTCCATTTCTCACTTTTAATCCTTGATAGGTTTCAAAAGCATTTACGCGGCACTGCGGGCGATGAATTACTTTCAGCCCGCAAGCCATATTCCCACAGACGAAATGTCGTAAGCTTATCGCTACACTATCCTTATTTCCATGGCAAATGTTCTGCCGAGATATACTGCTTAGTTCCACTAGTCCAGACCTTCAAATCGCCATTCCACATACACAGGCTCGAATCATCCTTATTCCCACCGTATTCCGTAAGAATGAACTTTCACTCATATTCTTCTCGAGAACCGCTACTTTGGGGTATTGACTCCCGACGAAATGATACACCGATCACTACAATCTTAACTTATTTAGTCTAAATTCAAACGTTAGCTACACTGAGTGGCTTTATTCTTGGACTACAACGACCTTATTTATTAAGAGTGGCTCTTGGATATATAGTAAAAACATCTATCTATCTAGTTGTTTCCTTTTTTATTTCTTTTTATTTAATTCTGTTTCTCTCTGTCTATATCTGATCTCAGACAGATTATCTAACTGTTTTCTTCTTTATTTATTTTTATATCTTTCTGCTTCTCTCTTTCTCTGCCTTCCTCTCTCTATCTCCGAAAGATTGACTATCTATCTATCTATCTATCTATCTATCTATCTATCTATCTATCTATCTATCTTATTTCTTTTAATATCTTTCTGTTTCTGTTTCTCTCTCTCTATATATGCTCCTCTCTATCTAAGACAATCTATCTATCTATCTATCTATCTATCTATCTTATTTCTTTTAATATCTTTCTGTTTTATTTCTTTTATATATATTTCTGTTTCTATCTATTATCTATCTATCTTATTTCTTTTAATATCTTTCTGTTTCTGTTTCTCTCTCTATATATATGCTCCTCTCTATCTAAGACAATCTATCTATCTATCTATCTATCTATCTATCTATCTATCTATCTATCTATCTAAGCAACAATCATGTCGTGAATAACTTACAATGTAATGGTTTTTTCTCAGAAGTTAAAGTAACGTTTTTTGTTTCAAAGTTGCTCTAAGCAAACATCACATGATCTGTCGGTAAGAAAATGATTTAATTAATTTGTAATCCTGCTTTCATGGTTTTGTGGCTATAAAGAAATACTTACTCTAGTATACACTGCGCAAGCAATTACGTCGGGGCGATGAGGGCAATAATGGATCCATGGGTCTAAAAAGGTAATTTGTGACAGTAGAGATAATATTTTTTGGTGGAGTGCAGAAATGGTCATAAAGAATGTATAACGATGAATAATTGACGGCAGTTAAATTTCCGATAAAAATCCCTCAGAAGTGAAGTGAGGTAGAACCTACAGCATTTTGGGGTTGGTTTTGTCGACAAAAAAACAAAACAAAACAAAAAACAAAACAAAACAAAAAACAAAAAAACAAGTTGAAAAAAAAAAATGAAATAAACCCTGGATCTGTAGTAATGCAGAAATAATGTGTAAAACTGGGATCGATTACTGTCGAGGGTAACGTGGTGATTGATTAAGTTGCGTTTATTCGGACATCAGGCGTAGAGGTTCCATGTCAGATAGAATAGTGTGATGACTGATATATAAAAAAGAAGCAATAGCAATCTCATAGCCCCATCGAACTGTCCGAATGCATCAGAATATAATGGAATAAATAAGAAAATAGACAACCAAACTGGAAGAAGAAAAAAAAAAAGTAAAAAAAAAAATGAGAAAAAATTTTAAATTTAAAAGGGCGTAGTGATTTCTTCTCAGAACATACGAAGTTCGAACTATTTTGCTTTCAGATAAGGGGATTCATTTTTTTTTTATTGTACACGGAAGATAAAAAATCTGTGCATTTGAAAGGGAATAAAACAGTTTATTTGGTCTTTCGCATTCGTCAATATTTTTTCTCTGCTTCAAATCTCGCACAGCCATTGAAAACAAAAATAAAATATGAGCAAAATGTCTAAACATAAATCAATGAAGATATTAGAACGCATATATACATTTATTGCTCATTTAGATTACTGTATCTCTCCTCACCCTCTTTCTATCAAAGAGTTCATCACTTTCTATCTATCTATATTTCTTCATATCTAAATATCTACGCGAGGCTATTCCTGTCTTTTTCTCTCTCTCTCTATCTATCTATGTCATTCTACTCTTATCTATCTATCTATCTATCTATCTATCTATCTATCTACGTCATTCTAATTCTATCTATCTATTTATCTATCTATCTATGCTATTCTGTTCCTATCTACGTCATTCTAATTCTATCTATCTATCTATCTATCTATGCTATTCTGTTCCTATCTATCTACGTCATTCTAATTCTATCTATCTATCTATCTATCTATCTATCTATCTATCTATCTATCTATCTATCTCTGTCATTCTATTCCTATCTATCTATCTATCTATCTATCTTTGCTATTCTATGCTATTCTATTCCTATCTATCTACGTCATTCCACTCCTATCTATCTATCTATCTATCTATCTATCTATCTATCTATCTATCTATGCTATTCTATTCCTATCTATCTACGTCATTCCACTCCTATCTATCTATCTATCTATCTATCTATCTATCTATCTATCTATCTATCTATCTGATTTATTTCTTTATAGTGTAATCGACTCATATATACCACTCAGCATTTTAAATAAAATGGAATAAACTTTTAGACTGTATGAATCCAAAGTTTTCAAGAACAATTTAAACCCAGCTCAGGAAAAGATGAAAAGCGAGAAATGGCATCGAGAGCGAATATGTCGTCCTTTATGGATGTCTTGTCAGGCGTCCAAAGTGGTAGGAGAGTACGTGGAAGGACACCCTGCCATGATCTGGTAAGCCAGCTTACGATAAGCAATGGCTTGAAAAGGGGAGATAAATCTGTGCTGAAAACCAACTAAGCATTAACTGTAGAAATAAATGCCGAAATATCTTTTCGCGAAAAAATGGAGGCTACTCCATGGCGGGTAACGACGGATATACAGTGTAGGTAGAAAGAAACTCCCTATTTAAAAGTATATTGTTAATAACTTTATTAATTATTGGTCGATTTTCACAAAACATATTTTAGTTTGAAAAGTATAATGGTAGAAGTACAATCCAGTGTTAAAATTCTACGTAGGCACCAGTTTTGTCTACCAGTGTTTGTAATCGCCTGGGTATATTCTCGATTGACTTCTTAATTTTCTGTACCATTTGCACATTTTATTCTAATCTGGATTTTGAAGAACGATCGTTTCTGTGGGTATCTAACACGGATCCCGGACTTCATCAGCTTGGAATGACAGTTTCTGATGGTTTTGGCATCTACTGAAGCACGAAGTCCATAAACACTACGTCACCATTTTTGCACTTTTACCAAAGACTGCTACACTCCATAACGGCATACTAACTGATCATGATAATGCAGTGTCAGACGTTTTTGCTATTTTGAGCTGCACTTGTCACTCTGAAATAAAAACAGAAATTAGCAATTAAATTCTACCACTTTAGGAATCACAATATATTTTCTATCATGTAAATGTGGTGATATTAACAAAAGTTATAAATAATTTTCAATAGGGAGTTTCCTTTCACACATCCATTAAATTACAAAATATTTAAATTTCAGCATTAAATAACCCATAGAGGCGTTGATATGCCGCTAAATAAAATCAACCAAGCTAACAACCAAGATGATTTTCATAAAACATGTTTTATTTTGAACAATATAATGTTAGAAGTATAGTCCTGTGTTAAAATCCTACATAGGCACCAGCGTTGTCCACCTGTCTTTGTAAACCTCTGGGTATATCCTCAAGTGGAGCACAATTTCTTCCAATCTGGATGTTGAAGGACGACCGCTTCTGTGGGTATCTACCACAGGTTCAGTACTCATCCGCTTGGAATGATAATTTCTGATGGGTTTTGGCATTTACTGAAGCATGACATGCATGAAAACTTCGCTACCATCGCTGCACTTGTACCACAGACTGTTACAAACATATGCTGGGTCAGGCGTTTTGCCATTCAGGGCTACACTTGTCACTATGAAACAAAAACAGAAATTAGGAATTAAATTCTACCACTTTAGGTATCACAATATGTTTTGTTTCATCCAAATGTGGTGATATTAATAAAATTTATAAATAATTGGGAGTTTTTTTTCCACTAACCTTGGATATACGATTTATGTTGTTTGGTAATAAAATAAGCACATCTCATCTCCCCTCTCGTTTGTAACCATCCACTATAATAAGATAAACGTTTTCAGTGTTAATGCTGAATTAGTCAAATAAAGCTTCATAAGCTTCTACTTAGAGTTGTGGCAATATTACTTATTGCTTAATTCTCTATAAAAACAATGTGCTCAAAGAAGAAATCCTTTTCGCACTTTTACCATTGACTGCCACATTTCATAACGGGATGCTAACTGAGCCAGCTCATGCAGTCAGATGTTTTGCCATTCAGGGCTACATTTGTCATTCTGAAATAAAAACAGAAATTTGGAATTAAATTCTACCAATTTAAGAATCAAAATATATTTTGTTTCGTACAAATGTGGTGATATTAATAAAAGTTATGAATATTTTCAATAAGGATTTTTTTTTTAATACTAAAGTTCATCCAATAAAAATACTCGAGAGCCAATCAAAGTTGAGTGTCAGTGAATGTGTTGTCATATAAATGGAAGTAGAGGTAGAAGGAAGTGAAGATTATAAGGATAAGGAGGATATATAATGAGTGACCTCTGACTCAAAAAGGTTGAAATTGTGCTTACGGAAGCTGCCACGCGAAATAAAAATAGCTCTACAAAATAGCTGTTCTTGAGAAATGCTGTTCCTCTTTACAATTGGGATACGGAGGAAACGAGGGCGATTCGAGTTTGTGGACATGGCATGGTATGTGCTCGCTGCAAAGGTCTGAGCTGGTGGAATTAAAGAGTACAGCTCACCTGAACGATTGTAGAAATAGTTGCGTAGTTTGCTACACAGAAATAAAACATGTAATAAATTTGATCCAGAAAATGCTACCCCAATAATAAAGGAGACAAAAACATATCATATTACGATGAAAATATCTAGAATCAATATTAATTAATATCCATCCTTTGATAAACACGCTAGACTCATTTTTTCATATAAATATCCATAAACTTCATGCTTAAAGAATGTAAAATCTAGATACTTGTTGACCTAAGGTTTTGATCCATGCACTTTCATGATTTCAAGATCAACAGACAACCGAAAAAACTCGCTGACACATTTCTCTAACACACCAAATATTTCCCAATGTCTCTCAAAAGTTACATAATAATAATAATGACAATAATTGTAATAATTATAATGATAATAATAATAATAATAGAATTAAACAAAAACATAGAGCCATATACTCCCAAATTCCCGTAGACAAACGATTTTTCCTCAATAATAAAATTTACTTCAAAATTAATAATTATATTTGATTCACAGTCAAGCCCCGCAAAAAAACAAAAAACCCAAAACAAAAACAAAAAAAAACCCCAAAAAACTACACACACATATACACGCACATTTTCCTCATTTCTTCCCGCTATCATCCTCAGTAATTAAACAGACACACTGACACTACCCGATAGACACAAGATTCCCACTACATGCGCGCGCGCGCACACACACATACACACACACACACACGCACATACTAACGAGACAAGGCATTAATTCATGACATTTACCCCTGATCAATGAAAACAAACGACAGAGTTCAATATTCCGAAATATTCTCTGTCATAACTCATTTACACCAAATTTCTGATGAAGCTAAAATCAAAGGGAAACATGTTAAATTTAGAAATGTTTGTCCTATTCGTTGCTTATTTTATCATCCCATCGGATTTAAACCATATTTGTTTCACACACACACACACACACACACACACACACACACACACACACACACACACACACACACACACACACACACGTCGCGTTGTCAGCAATGTTTAGATCATAACGGACATCAATTTGAAAATATGCGATGACAAAATCTGAAAAGCTTACATTTATAATTAAAATTTCCTTCATATGCATCATTGAATTTAGATATCCTTGATTCTAGTTCCTTCAATTATTTTAAGTGAAATGTTCAAAATGTGTATACATATTTGAGACACCCTGTATATATATATATATATATATATATATATATATATATATATATATATGTGTGTGTGTGTGTGTGTGTGTGTGTGTGTGCAAAATTGTCCAATTGTTAGATTAAGCATTGGACTCTCCTTTAAGCAATATGAATGAATAATCGTGATGAAATCGATCATAAACGAAAATGACATGTTCATAATTAATTAATCATAGCTACTGATCGGATGCTCATGAAGGATGGAAATAAAGTTCTACTATATATTATCCTGATGATCCTGTCGGAGAAACCTAGACAGATAGGCTCAGGCTCTGGCTCTATCTATCTATCTATCTATCTATCTATCTATCTATCTATCTATCTATCTATCTATCTATCTATCTTGTCTCAAAATGGATACATACTTTGACAGTGTATAGCTCAAGTCAACTTGTGTTCTTATCAGATTTACACGTTAGTATTTTTAATGTAATCCAAGCTTAGCTTTGAACAATAAATGTTCATACTGAAATGCTACTTAAGTAGGAAAATGCCGTTGAAGTTCAAAGGTGTATCATTCAGACCCAACTATGCGGCTTAAAATCTCACGAATTAGAGATAAGTTTGAAGCTGATGGTACTGCACACGATGTGCACAAGAACTGTTTCGCGTGACCACGGCTATCAACCACACAATGTGAAGTAAGAAAGGGGCGATGGAAAGTTTTCACAGGAGTTCAAAAAGCCTATAGAAAAGTTGCTTACTGCTTGTGAATCTATTGCGTCGCATTGTCAGTAATGTTTGGATCATAACGGACATCAAATTGAAAAAATGTGATGAAAAAAATCTTAAGAGCATACATTTATAATAAACACTGTCTTTATATGCATCATTGAAATGAGATATCCTTGATTCTAGTTGCTTCAATTATCTCAAGTGAAAGCTTCAAAATGTGTATACATTTTTGAGACACCATGTATTGTTTACAATTTACTATATTTATTTATAGGGGAAGAATGTTCAATATCGGAAATTATATAGACAGTATTGATATAAGAAGCAACATAGCAACGCAACTCTCAGTTTCATGCCTAAATGCAGTCTTAGTAACAAGTGTCATTTATTTAACAGGTTGCATATATAGAGTTTTTTTTTATTAACTTTTCAACAGTATTTTAACCTGAGATCATCTCCCGAGGACGAGGTTATCAAAACGTCACATTCTTGACTAATTACCATGGTGAGATTCGAACCTTCATCTCATCGTTGGAAGTCTAACGCTCGTTGGATTGTAATATTTGGCCAATATCTGATATCGTACAATATCTAATATTGATAGATACGATTGTTATGGATAATCAAGAGTGGTCTCCCCTTGTTTTGTTACTATTCTCTTGGAGAGAGCTATTTCTGTTTACTGGGACTATAAAAGGACACTATACGCGAACCTTGTATTTTCAGTTGAATAAAGTTTTCTTAAAGCCTACACCTGTGTACTTTTGTCATTATAACGGGTATGACGATAAACTACATCCGCGTCCTGGGTAAGACGATAAATTACATCTAACAGCAAGGCCTCTGTTCAGGAGGTTTTGAGGAGCGTGGAACCACTTCTTAATTGCTGGTGTTCCCAGGTCCACCCTGACCCGGGGTGGTAGCACCTGTTAGGGACTCAGCTATGGGCAGATAGTTAACCCCGAAACTGGGGTAAAAATGGGTTTTAATACCAGGAATACTTTGTAAAAAAAAAAAATTATCAGCAATAAATTTTTTAAGAAAAAAACTATTACCAGCAATACATGTTTGAAAAAAAAAAAAAAATTACCAACAATACGTTTTTGAAAAAATATTGCCAGCAATGCATTTTTTAGGAAAAGAAATATTACCAGCAATACATTTTTGAAGGAAAAAATTATTACCAGAAATAGATTTTTGACAAAATAAAATATTTCCAGCAATAAAAACTTTATCGGCATTAAATAACCCATTGAGGTGTTGATATGCCGTAAAACACAACAAACCAACCAACCAAAACAACGATACAATAATATCGATAGATACGATAAACAGTTTTCTTTTGCTGGTCCTTTCTGTTTTTATTTGCCTAAAAAATACTGTCAACACCACGCTGAATGTTGAATATTTTGTATATTTTTAAAAACTTTTTTTTGAACATAAATAATTATTTGTATTTTATTTTCTGAGATTTGAGCTACCCGAAGTTGGAAACGAAAGGAAAAAAATGATTGTGGTAAAACCTGACTTAACGACATTCCTGCTCTTTCAAATATGTTACAACGATAAGATTCGACAACAACGAATCCAAAACCCATAAAATTTGCTTGGTATAAACATAAATCTTAACTGTTTACAAAGGTTGGCTGAATTGTGGGAAAGACCTTGAAAGGAATTGACATTAAATTTATGTGATGCTGCAATATTTATATTTATTCGGATAATATAGGTTTATGTAGGCACCTCAACGAAATCGCTAAAAAATATATCAGCATGCCGTGAGGAAAACATGCTTCAAACTTGATGAAAACAAATTTGTTTCGTCAAAATCTTTATGCTATTATTATGTAATTATATTATTATATTGTTATTATTATTAGTTTGTTATGTTATTATTATTATTATTATTATTATTATTATTATTATATTATTATATTATATTATGTTATGTTATTATATTATTATATAATGTTATTATTATCATTTTATGTTATTATATTATATTATGTTATTATGCTATTATGTTATTATATAATTATTTTTATATTATGTTATTATTATTATGTCATTATGTTATTATTATTTTATTATGTTATTATGAGGTTATTATATTATGTTATTATTATTATTTTATTATGTTATTATTATGTTATTATATTATTATGTTATTATTATGTTATTAAGAGGAAAGATTAAAGTATTTTTGAATATTTAATTAAATTTTTTACTCTTTTTAGAAAATTCGAAATTTTGATTAAATAACTTGTTTTGCTTGCGCCAGCGGATGTTGTAACTTTTAACATAGCAAATTGTAGCCTCTTTTTTTTTGCGGTGACAGACATTAATTTGGAAATTCTTACAAAAATCAAATAATTGTCGGATTTTAAATGAAATTTCCAGGACTTATTCAAAAATGACTGAAATTATTTTTGAAAATTTTTATTAGAAAATCTTGGTAATTTTTTACATGTGTTTTAACTCCTTACTTAATTTTATGAAAACTTGAGAAATTCAACGTGATAATTTTTAGTGACTATATTAGTTAAAAGTAGAATTCTTTGAAGAATTTTCTTTGCAAAATCAGACCCGGTCTTACCGAAAATCTGTTCTGAATCGAAAAATATCAAACGCAATAAAACCAAGACATTTAAGAAGCATTTAATTGCTTTTATGAATAACAATATAAGTATTAATATGATATATATTAAAAACAATATTGTTTGAAGGAAAAATTCGATAAAAAATGCATTTTTACAAGATTTGTTTTCAATTTTTTACAATTTTAAACTGAATAATTTATGAAGATTTTAAATCTTTTAAAATTCAATTTCAATGTGATAACTCTTGGAAAGTATTATTATTAAGTAAATCTATATTTACTAAATAAAATTTATTACAATCTGACGATCCCGAATATTTTAAAAAGAATTTCGGTTTGTTTTTGCATGAGTTCAAACGTGCAGAATTTCTGAAGTATGGATGTACAAACCGATAAATCTATCATTAAAAGGTCACGTGTTTTAAGGATTGTCCCTCGCTTATAAAGTTTATTGTCTGCTCCACCATACTTAACTAGGAACACGTTCGGCAGTCAATCGGCTATCAATAAATCGATTAACACGTCAGAAAAACAAGACCCCGTGGTTAGGAAATGCCTGTATCCAACATTTTATGTTATAAGTAAGTAATATTTGTTTTTAATCAGATTAACTTGAAATTTGCTAATTTTCCTCAAATAACGGTTCAGAAATATATATTTTATTTTTGCAAGATTTTTAAATCCGAGAATTAACTTTTGTTATAAATATCTCAAAATGGCCGATTTTTATCGATTTTACTGAAAAAAAAATCAATTACGATCAATATAATTTCTGTTTAAAATATACCGCAAAGTATTTTGCTGACTAGAAATAATACATTTTAATTTAAGTCCTTTAGCTTTCAATTAAAGCTCAAATAAAATCTTCAAGAAAGCTTTTTCATTTTTAAAAAATCATTTTAAATCTTACGTAACCCGAATAAGTAGAGATACCTACGCTTTAGAGATGAAAAATCTTACGTTTACTGAATTAGTGGAGGTATCTAGTTTTATGTGAGCGTCACTTTATATAATAATGGATAGAAAATTAAAAAAAAAAACATAAATTTATAACACAATAACGGGATCACAGATTTTTCAAAGACAATTCGCAAATCACATCGGTGTGAAATATTTGCTCAAGGTCGTGAACTCCTAACTTCTCTTTAGGTGGATATCGCTTAAATATTTTGGATTAAGAGAGAGAGAGAGAGAGAGAGAGAGAGAGAGAGAGAGAGAAACAGGACTAAAATGTGCACTGTTGACTCATTGTAAATAGCTCATGCAGAAGTAATGCTGAAAATCTGTTGGTTTGAAAAGGCTAAATACATTATCCAGATATCACATATATTTCTACATGCTGTCTGAAGTGAATGATCACGGTTCTCCACATCTTCCTATTCTTATCGATACTTGTTTTGCCATCTATTTAGAAAAAAAACACGTTTTTTTTATATCCTTTCAGAACGTTGTCGATTATGGCTCTCCACTATGTCTTCTCGTTTGTAGCACTTAGCAATGGTTGTCTTTCTCCTAGCCTGCCTACTCATTGTTCTGCTATCCATCTACACAAGATTGTTGTCTGTCTCTATCTCTTCTGGACGTTGTCTATTATGGCTCTCCACAATTTCCTATTCTTTGTATCACTTAACAATATTTGTTTCACTCCTATCCCACTTACTTCCTGATCTGAAAACCATTTACACAACCTCATTATTTTTGTCTATTCTTTCAGGACGTTGTCGATTATAGCCCTCCACACATTCCTATCCTTTGTAGCACTTATCAATGTTTGTTTTTCTCTTATCCCACTCACCCTTTATTCTGCTGTCCATTTACACAAGATCGTTGTTTCTGTCTGTTTTTCGGGACGTTGTTGATTATGGCTCTCCACAATTTCCTATTTGTAGCTCTTAGCAATTTTGTATCTCCACTCTCCGTTCTGTCATCTATTGACAGAAGCTATTCAGGTAAGTTTCCCGTTTTCTACCCCTGCCTCTTTTGCCTTCGATATGTCCTGTGAGTGTCAAATCTTCCGAGCCATCCTTCCTCTTTATGTCCCAGAAATTTCAGCTGTCTTTTTCTGATTTCAAGTATGTGTCTTTTGTTTTTTTCAATGTTTCTTAAGACTTCTTCGTTGCTTACACGTTCTGGTCATAGTATTCTCAGCATCCAACGGTTGAGCCTATATTTCTGTTGCCTTATGTCTTCGTTTCATCTGTGAAGAAATCTTCTAGAATTCTTTACCATATAGGAGGATTGATATTACGCAGTTCGGCACCCTTTTTTTTGTTTCTAAAGAATTTTTCCTGTTTCTTAGCACTTTGCTTAGTTTTTGGAAAGCGTCATTTGCTATTCCAATACCCATTCGGATTTCGGTGCCATATTTTACATCCACTGTTAAAACACTTCCTAAATATTTAAACTTCTGTACTTGTTTGGTTCTGACATCTCCAAAACAAAAAAACAAAAAACGTAGTCCACATCTTGGGCTTTTTCTCTTGCTGACAACCATGATTCTGTCTTCTCTAAATTGATGATTAGTTTTTTCATCTAGCTTTCCTTTTTTGCCTTATATAGGAGTTCCCGTATTTTTCCTTCTGTGTCTATCAGAGTATCATTTGCGTATTTTATATTGTTAGGACTGGGTTTGCCGATAATAAATCTTGGTAGGTTTTCCCTTGGTATAGGATAATGTGTCTACATACGTGAAAAGAGAAAATAATAGCGGGCGTTATGTCTGCTATGAGGACTTTGTGAAAACCTGCTGTTCATTGACTCTCTCTCACACACACACACATAAGCATGCACACAGCTCACCCCCCATATATATATATATATATATATATATATATATATATATATATATATATATATATATATATATATATATGTGTGTGTGTGTGTGTGTGTGTGTGTTGAAAAGACAGTGTAGACGTATGCTGTTCTTTGCATCCGATATTCAGTTTCTTTGAACTTCCAATTCTTAAATATCTCAGCAGTATTATTTTCTCCTATTATTTTTCTATCACTCCTTGCATATCATCTATTATTTTTCTATCATCTATTCCCATTCATTATCTATCTATCTATTCTTATCTATCTATCTATCATATCTATCTATCTATCTATCTCAGTCTTCATTATTCATCTATCTATCCTCTATCTTATCTAATCTCTTAGTTTTTCCTTTTTTCATCATCTATCTATCTCATATCTTCATCTATCTATCTATCTCAGTCTTTTCATTATCTATCTATCTATCTATCTCAGTCTTTTCATTATTCATTTCATCTATCTCAGTCTATTCATATCTATCTATCTATCAGTCTTTTCATTATTCATCTATCAATTTCTATCTATTCTATCTATCTATCTATCTATCTATCTCAGTCTTTCATTATCTATCTATCTATCTCATCTTTTCATTATCTATCTATCTATCTATCTCAGTCTATTCATTATCTATCTATCTATCTCTTTTCATTATCTATCTATCTATATCTATCTCAGTCTTTTCATTATCTATCTATCTATCTATCTATCTCAGTCTTTTCATTTCATCTATCTATCTATCTATCTATTTCATTATCTTATCTTAGTTTTTTCATTATCTATAATTATCTATCTATTTTTTATCATATCTATCTATCTATCTCCATCTATCTATCTCAGTCTTTTCATTATCTATCTATCTATCTCAGTCTTTTCATTATCTATCCATATCTATCCATCTATCTATCTCAGTCTTTCATTATCTATCCATCTATCTATCTATCTATCTATCTATCTATCTATCATATCTATCTATCTATCTATCTCAGTCTTTTCATTATCTATCTATCTATCTATCTATCTCGGTCTTTTCATTATCTAATTATCTTAGTTTTTCCTTTTCTATCTATCTATCTATCTATCTCAGTCTTTTCATTATCTATCTATCTATCTCAGTCTTTTCATTATCTATCTATCTATCTCAGTCTTTTCATTATCATCTATTCATCTATCTATCTATCTATCTATCTATCTTTATCTCATCTATCTCAGTCTTTTCATTATCTATCTATCTATCTATCTATCTATCTATCTATCTCAGTCTTTTTCATTATCTATCTATTATCTATCTATAGTTTTTCCTATCTATCTATCTATCTATCTATCTCATCTTTTCATTATCTAAGTTTTCTATCTATCTATCTCATCTTTTCATCTATCATCTATCTTTTCATCTATCTATATCTCAGTCTTTTCATCTATCTATCTATCTCAGTCTTTTCATTATCTATCTATCTATCTCAGTCTTTTCATTATCTATCTATCTATCTATCTCAGTCTTTTCATTATCTATCTATCTATCTCAGTCTTTTCATTATCTATCTATCTATCTATCTATCTTTTCATCTATCTTTTCATCTATCTATCTATCTCAGTCTTTTTCATTATCTATTATCTTTTCTATCTATCTATCTTTTCATTATCATTATCTATCTATCTATCTATCTATCTATCATTATCTATCTATCTATCAGTCTTTTCATTATCATCTATCTATCTATCTATCTATCTATCTATCTATCTATCTATCTATCTATCTATCTATCTATCTATATCGTGCCCTATAAAATTCAACAGCCACACTAGCTCTAAATATAGCTATTAACTTCCTTCCTTTACTACTGGTGTCGTGATTGAAAATCCTGACGTAAAAATGCCGTTCTCTTGTTCTTATTTTGCCGACATGGGGTAGAAGCAGAAATTCCGTCTTCACTGTGAGGACTGCCATTGAAACCCTCCAGGAGGGGTGAAACCTTTTGATTTCCGTGCGTAATCATTATATCCTTTGTATTCCTTCCATAGAAATATCACCAATATTGAACCAAACAAATGAATATTCTACAATGGACACACAGCTATGATGAGCAAGAATGCTTTCCATCACTTATTCAGGATTTCTTTGAACTCCCAGATCTTAAATATCTTTACAGTATTTATTCCTTGCACATTTTGTATCTTTGACTATTATGAAACAATTTTATTGATAGCTATAAATGCTTTATTTCTGTTGGGGATTATTTATTTATTCGTTCGCTGTGGATAGTTGACGCTTGGGTCACTACTGTGCTATCATTGCTTTCCCGTACGATCACCGAACTTAAGCAACGCCGAGTACCTAGATGGGTGACCACTTAGAAATACCAGCTGCTGTAACCTTGGGTGTGCAGGTGGTTCAATGGATAATGGCTTAGAATTGTTAATCGGAGAGCCGAGTTCCAATTCCAGTTGGTTTTGTTATATTCACTTACGCGCAAATACCCTTGATAAAGATATGAATCCACATCTTCTCCTCCATGATATGGACTAATTAGTAAGACAATGTAAAAATATTTTCTGGCTTTAAATAACCTGCAAAGGATTGATAAGCTGTAGAAAACGAATCCATCAATCAAATACTGATTAGCGACACAGCCATGTCTTTTAGATTTATATACATTCTCTGGTATATAAATGTATAGAAACTATAGTGGCCAAAAAGTGAGGGATCCGTTTATGTGTTGATTGTAATATAGAATTGATCACCCACTTTATATCCACATTATAATTGCTTGTTTGTTTATCAAATTCTGATTAAGTATGAATCCAACTCTCCTCAGCTATGGGATAATCAGTAAGACTTGTATCAGTAAATCCTTATTAGCTAAAAAAAATTCTGACAATGTAAAAATATTTCCTGGCTTTTAATAACCCGCAAAGGGCTGATAAACGAATCAATCAATCCATCAGATGTTGCTTCCATTTATCATATATATATATATATATATATATATATATATATATATATATATATATATATGTGTGTGTGTGTGTTATGGTAATTTACCCACGCATGCATGGACTCTACCAGCTATAAATAGAAGCAGATATTGCCTTTTTGGAGAGAGAGAGAAGTTTCCATCAGTCAGCTCTGACAGTTGGACCGAAGATTCTTGCTGTAGCAATCTCGTTTGTATATGTTTGTATTACTGTTTCTGTTAATATATTTATTCATCTCAATTCCTCTCTGTGTGTCTTTATTTCTGGTCCTAACAAGGCCAACAACACACACACACACACACACACACACACACACACACACACACACACACACACACACACACATATATATATATATATATATATATATATATATATATATATATATATATGAAAAAATATATAGAAAATAGGAAGGAACTGGTTAGGTAAATAATCCAAAGTCCCTTAGTATTTTAGTTATTATTTAAAAAAAAATAGTGCTCGATACAAAAGTAGAGCATAACTATAATTATTTATTTAAAAATATGATTCCAAAACGCTACATAAGAAGTCTCATGTTTCAAAACAAGAGCCGAAAACTTCAATATAATTATTTAAATTAAATTGAGTTAAAATAAGCTCTGTTCCAGCGTTTTGGAATCATATTTTTAAATAAATAATTATATATATATATATATATATATATATATTGAAGATTGTAGTTTAAAGACAGTAAAATCGACCTTGCTAAACGAAAGTTCCCCTGAGGCCCAATCGGTTAAAGGCACGTCAGGCTGTATGACGGTTCCGTATAGGATACAGGCTCGATTCCTGTCGGAGGACGAATATTTTCTATGAAAATTTCTCGGACATTCAGGCCGGTAAATGTTGTTTAATACTGTTTATTATAAACAGAGCATTTACTTAAATATTTGTATCTATAAAAAGAATGTATGAACATTTCATAATATATATTTGAATGATTTTTTAATCTTATATGCTTTTTAAATTGTTGTTAGTTTGATTTCAGTTGTAATTTCGTGTTGTACTGTTCTTTTTGCTAACAATCATGCATTCTCTCTTCTTGCAATTGATATTTAGTCCTTTCTTCTCATATATATATATATATATATATATATATATATGTGTGTGTGTGTGTGTATGTATGTATGTATGTATGTTATAGATATCTCGTGCCCGCTGAATTGGGTAACCAACGAAATTCGAGTCGCACATCAAACGTAGGTACATGCGTATTCATTAACATATATTTCTTAGCTCTGTCTAATCACATTGACCACTATTATGTCTCCACCTATTGGCTGGCTAAATTTGGTAATTATTTATTTGCTTACTAGCGTATGCACGCCAACACATGCGTATACGGTCGCTAATATCTAGTTATCTCCTTTACCTAACCGTATACATATATATATATATATATATATATATATATATATATATATATATATATATATATATATTAAAGATTGTGTTTCGTAAATAACTATATAAAGAAAGAAAAAAAATCAAAATGGCCGTGCAATTTATTTCTGGAAGATATCGTTTTAAGGTAAGCCGTATTTTAAGTAATGTCGTAAATAATAATAAACAGTACATTAATAGTAAACAAATAAACATGTTCGAAATTTATCTGATTCAAAGTTCAGTAAATTAGAATATGTCATGCAATAAAGTCTTTTAGTAAGAACAAATTTAAAATAAGTTGACGTCATAAATTAATGTTTTTTTTATGCAATATCTTTTAAGCAATGATATCCTCACATAAATTCAATTTAGCTATCTAACCGCCTTCGGTAAAACTTTGGGAAAATAAGGTTTGAACAGTTCATTTTATTCGTTTAATATATATATATATATATATATATATATATATATATATATATATATATACACTGAAGCTGAACCTAACATAGGTCACGATCGTCGAAACGCATCGTCTATAAGCTTTTCATATTCACGCACACACACACACACACACACACACACACACACACACATATATATGAATGATAAAATATAGTTATAAGGAATGCTATTTCTATGGATAAAAGTGCTGGATATATATATATATATATATATATATATATGCTCCTGAAGAATCATTTCGGTTGAGCTCTCTGGGGAAGAAGTGTGAGTTTGTAAACAGTGACTATTACTGCTACTAATGTAATACTCTTCGATAAAACGAATTGAGTTCTCTCTCGAGTTTATCTAAAAATAAATACGCTTAAATTCACCTTCATCTCCGCCGTGCGCCAACGGATTAGGGGTAGATTTTCCGACTGACGCCAATATATATATATATGGGCCTGAATATTGTATTCAATATTAAACAGATTGTCACTGCTCAAGTGTTGATCGCAGTGTCCACCTTTATATTTACATACGTTCTATACATGATATCGAGCACTTTTATCTATAGAAATAGCATTCTTTATAACTATATTTTATCATTCATATATATATATATGTAAATATATATATATATATATATATATATATATATATGTGTGTGTGTGAGTGTGTGTGTGTGTGTGTATGAAAAGCTTATAGATGCGTTTCGACGAACGTGACGTATGTTAGGTTCAGTTTCTTCAGGTCGTAAGGAAAATGATTTTAGAATTTTTTAATATAAGAGGGGTAATAAAATAAATTACCTTATCAGATCTGAAGAACCTAGACAAGAAAATGTTTGCTTTACATACATAGGAGTTTTTAAAAAATATATATTTGTTTCCGGTGACTTTAATGCCCACCATGCCAGATGGCTTAAGTACTCCGTCACTGACCTCGCTGACATCCAAACCTTGAACATCTCGATCACTCAATCTATGACGCAAGTGGTGTACTGGTGGGAACACTTCTCTTCTATCCCTGACTCATGTCGTACCATACAGCTCTGTCCTCTTGGCAACTTTGATCATGCAGTGTCTGTAAACATTTCTTTCTGCTCCCCCACAAACTAAGAACCTCCCACCAACAGAATATATTGGATTGTGACTCGTTCCGAGATTTTCTTTGTGAAGTCCCTTGAAATAAAGTTTTTAATCTTCCTGTTCAAAAATGCGCGTCTGAGGTCTCCCTCTGCGTGAAAGCCGGTATCGATACTTTCATTCTAGAAAGGAAATATAAAGTTAAATCGTTTTCATCTCCTTGGTTCTCACCTGTATGCTCAACCGCTATAGCCCACAGGAACCACTTCAGGCTGTACCAGAGCGTCACGTCTGATTGCAACAGGCGTCTCTTTGTCTCTGCTCGTAATGATTGCAAACGTGTCCTCAAAGAAGCAAAGTTGCTGTTTGATGATAGAATTAACCAATGCATAGTAAATATAACCGCCACTTCTATTCCAACAGTTTATTGCACTTCCCTTCCTGCAGTTTTCTTTCTGTATCTGCTGTCAACACTGTGTTATCTGTATATTTTACGTTGTTAAGATTTTGTCCACCAATGATAAATCCTGCTAGACTTCTAGTTCTCTTAGGGCTGTCATGCTGTAAAGGCTGATTAGATCCGGCGAAACGACACCTTGTCTCACGTCCCTTTTTATTTTTGTCCATTTACTTAATTCATTCTCTATCCGTATGCGGGCGGCTTGCTTCCAGTATAATTTATGAATTATTGTAATATCTTTATCAAAGAAACTAAGCTTACCTAGCAGTCCGAGCAGTCTACTGAATCGAAAACATTAATCACTTAAGAGGCTATTCCAATCAGGTGGTTTCTTCCGAAATGCGGGTTCGAGTTGTCCATACGTTATCGTGCATTAACTGTAAGAAAGGGCAGATAATCATTCAAACACCTATACAAGATTACATTTGTAA